TTGACCACTTCTTCCTGCCCCCAACACTTATCATCAGTGAGCCTTTCCTATCCTGCAAGGCAGGATAGGAAAAGAGGGGAAACCAAGATTGCTGTGAATATCTATAGGAACAACGAATATTGAGATGTTTTGTTGCTAAAAACACAATATCTATATGGTGTTTTTTATTCTCTTAGATCCGATAATCGGGATTTGGATAATACAATTGTTGGAAGTGTAACTGTATATTATATTGTATATATTCTACATTAGAGTTGTAATGATAAGCTAGCTAGTGTATGCGCTAAGGCTAGCGTCAGTACTAGCCGAGGGCACAATGCTAGGGTACCAGCATGTGGTACAGGGTACAATAGTATGCGTTCTAACAATAATATTTATTTATATTTTTACATATCTTTTCTCAAAATCTTACTAAATAATAAAAAGTAAATAAAATAATAATTAGAGTTATTAATAAAAAATGAAAAAGAAAAAGAAAATAAAGCTATACTAAATATTAAATAATAAGAAAATCGTTAAGTAATCGGAGAACTCTCTAATAGTTCATTATCTAACCCATCGAGAAATCGAAACCTCTGCTAATCGTATCTCGCAATCAAAATCGAAATCCTCTACCACTGACTTTCTCTCCTTTCCTTGTTTTCTCTTCCTGCTGGGACTGAGAACGCCAAAACGAGGCCGAGCTCGGATTTCTGACCGTTTAAAATCAACAAACATAATACAACCACATTGCTCGTCCCAAAGCCAATTCCATAATTCCGCATCCATGTGAAGTACTCGATACTCATACAATACTATCAATATCTTGCTCATCTCGTTGACTATATATACCGCATTTTCTTGATTGAAATAATTATAAAATAGACAGCCCGCCCAACTGAGAAAGAGCATGTTGGTATATATACTATAGTCGTAGTAAAATAGAAACTGCAAATCAACTGTGCCTAGGCAGACTGGGATGCAGTCGCCTTGAAGTGAACGAAGTCTCTTATAGACATTGACCTCCTTACACAGATGCTTGAAATTGGCTTGCATCATTGCTTTCGCAACAAAAGTATACCCATGAGAAGACAGTCTGACTTTCACAAGCACTCCTCGTGATCCTTTGACATAAAACGATATACAATCTGCGTTCTTTCCGCAATCATTGGCGAGCTGAATACAGACGAGATAAAGAAAGATTGATAGCTTCAAGTGTTCATTATGGTGATATTTAAGATTGGGACAGTGGTTGTCCAAGGCATCACCAGATACCAGTTCGAGCAAACACCGCTGGGTATAATACAGTCGATTCTGAATTCTCGGTACCAATATCCTTTCCACAGCTTTCTGCTTGTTCACATCGCTTTTAGTCAAATTTTTTGTTATATCTGTTTGTTGTGTAAAGGTGGGTAGTGTTTTCTATATACCTGGGAGGTTGGCTCTGCTAGGAGTCGGAGTAATAAAGCCCTCGGGAGATTCGTCGTCATCTTTATTATCCCGGAATGGATTATCAGCCCTGTCGTTGCACCCGGTAGCTAGGCTGCGCCGGGCTCGTGTCTGAATTGGCGACCGGGAGGAGGGTTTCCAAGCGCCCGGTTTGTATAAGTAAGTTCGAGCCGCTTTTCGAGCCGACTCAGGAATGCTCTTGAGGATATCGATATACTCAACATCCCAAGTGCCTAAATTTTCAGTTGCATCGTGCCACGATTGACCAGGCAATTCAGTGGCAAGCGCGGTCAGGGTGAACGCGGCAACCTGTGCGACTGCGGTCCTGTGAAGACTGCCCTCGTCCTTATCCTGAAAGTCGTCTTGCGGAATGGAAAGGTGATATAGGACAGTAGTAGGATTATCCTGTATATTGAGGAAAATAATAGCTTGTCCGGTAAAAATATAGCCCCGCTGGACACCCTTTCCTATCATGGAGGGGTATAACTGGGTGATGACAGCAGCTATAAGGGTCTTTGACATGAAGTCGCAATCATCACTTTCTTTATTGATGATTTCTGTGGCCGGTTGAATCACCCCTTTGAGTCCTGTAACAATGTCTGCCAAAGGAAGCTTGTGCGGTGCTTTGTATTCAATCAAAACAACTGGAGCCCTTTTTCCGTCTGCTCGGTTGTATATACAAAATTGATCAGCACTTCCTATCATCCGTGGAGCAATATTCCGCTTGCGCTTCCTCCCTGCATCTTTGCCTTTGCCTTTTGTTTTCTGGGTCCCTGCATTTGAATTATCGGTCTCTGATATAGACATTTGAAACTCATGTCGATATGGCAGCGGAAGACCAACCTCACCATTCCTCCAGAAGTCCATGACTCAGTGGCTCCTGTAAGTGCGCTTGCGGGCAAGCCTACTCCAAAGTATTAACATGTGATGCATTTACTAACGGGAGAGAAAGTATATCAAAGATGTGTTGAGATACACGATTCCTCTGTCGATAGAGGAAAAGGCGCCCACGTTCCTGACAATAGAGAACTACGTCGACATGGAGGAGCTCTTGTGGCAGCATGACCACCACAACTACGTCCACGAAGGGTGCCGTGTGGATTTGAGTGCCCTGTTGAAGATGCATTGCTATACTTCTGCAAGGTTACAGGAAATATGCAAGGCGACGTACAAGGTGAGATACCAAGTCTGAGGTGGAAATGAAACCCCGATTTTCGTGCTAACCATCACCAACAGGACCTCGTTTGCATGGTTGCATGGAAAGATGGAGAGCCAGAGATTAAGATAAGTTTCAAAAGAGAATTTACCAAAGGAATGCAAGACACCCCGAAAAAGTAAGTCCAAAGTGGTTCATTCCAAAGCTCGGGTGGTTGCTAACAGCTTATACACAGACCAAAACATCCATTGTATGAGAGGTTGAAGCCCGCGCCCCCTCTTTCTGCCAACGGCCTCTTGTTTCTACTCGCTATCATTATCTCGGCCGGCGCGTTCAGGGACTACAGCACTATTGAGGATGTCCTCGCTGCCAGACCGCCGCCGGGCAGAAAGTATCGGATCATGGATTGGGCGGACGGGATGTCGGATGATCCGGTCTTTCCGGAGATGTCTGCAGATGGACCGACCGAGAAGACCAAAAACGAGACCGCGTGGGGCCACCAGTGCTCAGACTGGGCAAAAAGGGCCGGTTTTACAGGAGGAATGGGGCTCCATGCCACCCGTCGCGAAGCGCTTATCAAGGTAGACGGTAAGGGGTACTCACTTTGAACAAGTTCATGGTGCAGCAGGCTAATTGGCAACAGACGGCGGCTATTCACTAGGGCAGGTCATGAAGTTCGCTGCGCACAGGAACTCAAAGACTCTTGTCGGCCACTACTTGGATGACATGAGTAATGTGGACGGTGCAGCAGTCTTTCTCGGCCTGGAGCCGCGGCGGGATCTCACAGAAGACTTCCGCTCTGCGTCCATGAAGAGAAACCCGGATCTCCAGCACTCGCTTCCAGGAAAGTGCCTGGATGAGCTGAGGCAGCGCCGGGACTTTACCGATCTTGGCGAGCAGATTGACAACCTCTCCGCTCAGATCACGGCTACCATCACGGAGAAGGGGCGCCAAAAGCTCAAGGCTCAACGGCGCTATGTCTATGATCAGCGTCAAAAGCTCATTAACGAAGAGTTGGCGAACTACCGCAGGATGCAACGGCGAGTACACACCACCCAATGTGAGGTAGACGACCAGGGTGAGTGGCACCGCAGTTACTTTGACCGTGTTGTCCGCCGCATGGTCCCTGAGCGCGATCGCCTCGCTCGTACTTTACCGATCGCCGCCCCGCTACGGAGTCCAGAAGGTATCTCCGCTCTCCAAGACCTTATTGCGCTCCGCACAAACGATTCCCGTGTTGCATACCAGGAAGCGTTACGGCCCATAGGAGGTTGCTGTCCAGTACCGACCTGCGGCCAGGAGATTAAAGAGTAAGGATAGTCTCCCCTCATTAGTGTCACTTCTACTAACAAAACGCGTCAGCATCGTCGTGAAAGAGAGGTGGAAGCATGTGTACCGGTGCTCCAAAGACTACCATGAGAAGCAATCTGGCTTCGCCGAATTTTGCTTCCGGTGCAGCAGGTGGATAACCAGCGAGACAGATTGGGAAGCCCACTGCCAAGATCATATCGACAATCTCGATGTGCCTTTCCGGTGCGAACCAGCCGTTGCCTGCGCCGGATATTGCAGCGGATGTCTGAGGAAAAAATGGCTACCAGCAGCCGTACGGATGAGACAGTTCCACGATCGAACAAGCTTGCAAAGACATATCTCTGACTGCATCCCAGAGTATGTCGAGAGTCTAGATAGCAAGGACTCTATTCCATGCCCGCATTTGCTATGCACTGTGGTGCTTCATTCGGAATTAGACTTATGGAACCACCTTGGAGACATACATAGCACTCACAAGCTAGATGCACGGAAGAAGCGCCAACGTCAGCAAGAAGAGGGCGACGATGAACGAGCCGAAACGTCGGGTGCTACTAGAATTCCTCGCATCGCCTTGGAAGGCGTCTCCCAGCTGCAGCGCTCAGTGCGATTCATTCGTACCGCTAAGGACTTCATGTTGGCGGTTAAGTCATGTGACCTCGTTCGCTTAGGCTCACCGTCTGGCGGTACTCTGTATATAGTCAGCCTTGCACTTCCTACCTAGCCACTCAAGACTACGACACTCAAGACTCTTCCACACTCCCTAACGCGTGATACTTCGCAACTATTATATAAATCACTCACCTATCCCTTGATCTTCTCGCCGCCGCGTCCTCTCTCTGAGATCAATGTCGTATTTCCCAGAACTCTCACTTCCAATAATGTACGACCATGACGAGTGGCCCAAAATGCCGGATGGCAACGACTTCGACGACAAACAGCTGCTCACCCTGGTTCGCAACGGTGACAGCCCCTTCCACGGACTTTGGGATGTAAACCTACTCATTCGAGAGATTGAGGAGAATCTCGACGCCCACGTGATTGACATCCCGGTCATCTCCAAAGGCTCCAATAACTACGTGAGTTCTTGTTTGAAATCTTCATAATCCAATTCCATGCTGAGACAGAGGTTGAGTGTCGCACAGGGTCTCCACTTCAAACTGTCGAATCGACCGGACATCGTCGCGCGTATGTCTCGTGACGATGTTAATATGCCTAACTTTGACGGCGCCCCAATTCATAAGCAAGTTCCCGAGGTCAAGTTCGAGGTGGTGGTATACGAGCTCATGCGCTCAGAGCCTAATATCTTGGCCTCCCGCCTGCTTTACCACCGTATCCCAGTGCAGCACGTTGGTCCCAGACTTGATCTCCCTCAGGATATTGCGGGCCGCCACTTGTTCTTGTTTGAAAGAGCAGAGGGAGAGAAGAATGTATGGCGGGATCTCAGCCCAGAACAAAAGGTGCGTGCCTATGTCAGCAATCTATTCTGCTCAATTCAATTTAACTGTGCCAATCTTCTCTCTAGGCCTGCCTTCTTGCTCAGTCAGCTCGTATCCGCGCATCATTATTCAATTTCAATCTCCCGCTCGACTTCGCCGCTGTTTGGCTCCGCGAACGCCTCTTTGAACAGAAGCCCAAATTACTTCCTATTCCTGTTGCTCTCACACGCGAGTTCTGCGTTGCTCTTTTTATCTCCAAGATCGAAGCGACAATCAGGAACATAGGCGACATGATCGGGTGGGAGAGTGACAATGTCACCGTTGGTCCCATTGCTGCGGTGGCCAAGCAGTCTCTCTTGCGCCTCATCCCACACATTATGCCTACAGACAGCGACCAGACCTCCCTCTATCGTCTCGTTCTTGAGCACGGCGATTTCGGTATTCACAACATGTCGATTACAAGAGATGCAAACGGTCAACCCCTCGTGACGTCCCTGTACGACTGGGAGACTGGGTGCATCGTGCCGGCTATCTTGTCCGATCCGTTGATGGCGGTGACCGTCGATCTAGTGACAGATGAGAATGCCGCCCCTTCATTTATTCGAGTACCTGACAACGCAACTCCGGACGACCGGGTGCAGTACATGACATGGGCGAGGCAATATTCCATGGTACGTCCTTCGTTCAAGCATCGTCTTTCTCAGTGCATAAGCAGAGAAGTAACTGCCTTTCTCTGCGCAGGCTCTCTTCAATCAAGCACCCGATTACGAACGTGCAATCCAGGCAGGGAAAGACGCACGCCACCTTTGGTTTGCGTTGCGAGAGTGGCGAGGTGACGATCCGGAGGGATATTTCGGTGATCTGGGAGCTTGGGCTGAGAGGAGGATGAAGGAGCTTGGTGTTGATTTAGTATGTACGATAACTGATCGCCTTTCTTGTTCCCCTTTCGATATTCTGCCTGATTCCAACAACCTCCCGTCGACGAATTTGACGAACGGTGGGAATACTTAGAAGGGAGGACTGTGACCAATAGCCAGATGGCATGTACTAGGTCAAGTTCATGAAAAATGTAGAAGTTAGAAGGTACAATATCATAGAATGCCAATCAATATATGTTGTTGAATGAGAGGGTTCGCGGGCAGCGATCAGGATAGCAAAATGGGTGTAATATTGATGTCTACAGAATGTATGGATCCGTTGAACAGAGTACGCAAACACACCCGCAGAGAGAACTCAGCGCAACTCCATCGTTATCCAGCCCAGAAATCAATGTATAAATCCACTCCCCAGCGCGTGCACAGCACCAAACTTTTCCCCACGATGACATCGCGGATTCCATATTCCCTATTGCGCCTATTACCTGCAAAGGCTCTTGGTCCATTCAAGTGCAGCAGAGACCGCGCTCAAGGTGTTGACTAGTCGATGAAGTTGCTAGGAGATTGGCGCATCACCCCATCATGACTACTTTTTGAGTTTCGTAGAGTACTGCGCCTGGATTGCCCCTGGAGTCTGGTGCGGGAGGGTAGCATGGATCTCTTCCCATGAGCAACCCTCCTCCTTCATCTTGAGTATCGTCTCATTCTCTTCTGGTTTCCATAGGATCGTCCGTGTCGTCTACCTCTGCCTGGTTCTGCTGATCTCCTGCAAGCTCTCCCTGCTGCCGTATCTCTACCCCTCCCGCTTCTTCCATTAGCGCTTCCTCGCCAAGTTCCCTCCTCCCAAGTGATTCTACAGCCACCCGAGTCTCCTGCTGCTCCCACTCAAGGCCCTGAGCTGGGTACCACATCGACAAGTATCTCGCAGCTCTTCTGGCCGACTACTAGTGGTTTCGCTGCGTTCTCGACTCTGGATCTCGTCCTGTGGTGTCTCGGCCGAGCGAGGACTTGGGGAGGTAGGTGTGCGGGCCGATGATGACTCCACTTGTTGCTCTCCCAAGCCAACCCTAGTTCTTTCTCCAATTCAGCCATGTTCTTATCTGTCCATCCATCATCGCCGCTGTCGGAAGACTTAAGGAGGGAGTGGAGCGCAGACTCCACTGACGTGCTTTGAGCGATACTGCCGACACCTTGCTGGTGGGTCTGATCTTGCAGTGGTTGGGCTTGTGCGGGAGCAGAAGGCACGCTGTGCTGCTCGTGAGACCCAAGTCCCGGGGTTGTCTCCTCAACGTCATACCATGGACCAGATGTATCAATGGACTCTGTCGGTGCTGAGGCGAGTTCTGAGGTTAGAAGGGAGTTATGCAGACTCGCGTCCAGTTCAATACGCCCGGTATCGACTTCACCGGAAGCGCTTTCGGCCTGACCCAGCACGTGCCTTATCCAAGTCGTCGTCATTATCGAGAATCACTGGTTGATCTGAATGTAATTAGCGGACCGCTTCTGCACACAAGGACATTTGGTGCACCTACCTCGACTCCCGCCCTGACGTTCACCCGACCCTAATTGTATTCGGTCAACTTGCAGCCTAGCCCTGTGAAGAGCTGGCTATTCCAGGCGCTGAAGGGTGGATCCCCGGTCTTCGAGGCCTCAGTCGAGATCTTCGGACGCAGAGCCGTCCGCTCTTCGAGAGATGGAAGATTTCTGTCTGATTCACCTTCATTGTCATCACATCGATTTACATCACAATCATTTTCATCAACTGCAACATCATCATATAAACCGCAACTACGTTCATTATCATCAGCTACAATGTTATCACCTTTTAAGCTATCACGTTTATTACTATCACATAGATTGCCATCACCTCCACCACCGACACCTGAACCTTAGGTATCTCCATCCCCGGCGCCTCAATCGTATGCATCTTCATCACAACCATATTATATCCCGGCACCTCAATCATTGGTATCTCCACCACCAACACCTCAATCTTCGAAATCTCCGCCCCCGGCACTTCAATCATTTTCAGCTTCGCCACAAGCATATTATAAGCCCACACATTACACATCTACTTCCGTTCCATCGACAAATGACTCCGATAAGTCGAAAGATTTCCTAGAACGCTATCAAGTTTTTTTCGAAAACAAGACTCTAGTTCCTTCAGATTACACCAAGTATCCTGGATTGAATGAGGACTACCATGAAGCTTCTGGATTGAATTTCATATACAATACTAGTATGAATCATTGCAATGACAATATACTTTACCGAAGTCGAAGTCGTTTGATGGTAGTGTTACCACCAGAAATCCAAACTCTCATTGGTATTTTCCCTTTGGTCAAGGAATCTAATGAACCAATCACTCTTGATAGGTTCGCATTTCTTACAGTATGTTACGAAAAACATAATTCTTTTGGGATTTTGAACCAAACAGGAGAAGCAGAGGTTCTCAAAGATATAATTAAGGCAACAGAAGAAAGCCTTGACAAACAATATAGCATATTCAAGGGTAGTAGTGTCGCTTCGCTAGAGCTTCTCTACATATGGATATCAACTTTCTTTTCGCGAGAGAATACAATTGTACAACAAACCACTAATAGCATTCATAATACCTGTTTTAATGGATGTCTAGTAGGAATGTGGATAGGACAGGAAGGGAAGATATTTTTGGATATCCGAGGAGTTTGTGGGCTTGGCTACGATGGCTGAGTATATTTAATTACAATAGGGATTGGAGTCTCATGGATGCAATCTAGTATTCGCTTTTAAAAGTGTTTATGACTGAGCAGGAATGAACTTGAAGGTTCAAGACATCATGAGACCTTGGACGACCTTGGAGGATCTTGTTCATCTGGAATCATTCAACATTGTTCACGGAATGCATGATTGAGGCTCAACCCTCAAATATTTGGTATATAGCACGAGTTTGTTTCTTTGGTATTAATGGAATCAATATCCACCATCTTTATCATCATCGCTACGAACTGAATCCCCGATAAGCAATGGATATATGACAGTTCTAAAAACCATAATATCTTCGCTTCGTCTGAAGTGATGAATTGGCTAGATAAAACTTGTATGGTATCCAAATGTTAAAAAGGCAGGACCAACTGAAGCTGTAGCAGGAAGGATAAAAGAGTCGGGATTTCTAGGACTTGCATCGCAGTGTCAATGACCTGAGCTAAGCCAATTCTGATTATCCGAACCTTTTAGATGATACTTTCTCTTGGACCTCTTGTTTTGATAGATAGAGCACCTAGCATTCTTCTTGAACTGTTGATAAATCACAATTCAAGATGACCTCAATAAGTTGTGTCTCGCCAAAATGTATGAATTTCGTGAAATCCTTTACCTCGACATGACTCGCCAAGTTCATTGAAGAGAAACCTAAAATTTCCGTTCCTTGTAATGCGATTCCACTGCGACTCGCTTCTTCAGCCCCGAGACTCGCATGAATGCCAGATAAGATTCTATCTTTGAGTGATACAGCGAATTGAAACTGATTGCGTTTGTATGAATGCCATATTGGTATTTGATGTACTGACTTTAGAAGTAGTGGAGTTATCTAGTGTTGGGCTAAATTACATTACCAGTAGTTATTCTTTACGGCTGCGTTTCTTTCTCGGCCCCTGATCATCAGAATCTGAAGCCACCCCATTTTTGATTTCATTCAGCTGCTTCTCTAAGCTCTCTTTCTCTACTTTCATACTCGTATACAATTCCTCCTTCTTGACAACATTCCTTCTTAGATCCTCATTTTTGGCTGTAAAGTATTAATTAATGGGCAAATTAAATGAAGTCTAGCATCTTACCGTCTAGTTGATTATACTTCTCCTGATGCCAATGTACACTCTTCTGCAAATCCTCCACACTCTTTGTTAGAAACTTGTTTTTATCTTGGAGCCAGTTTATATGTGCTTTAAACCTCATTAGTTAGGGGCACAAAAAGCGATTGGATATAGCTTGCCTTCCGTTTCGCCTTGGAATTTGTTTTGGCTCGTTTGCAGCTCAGCGTCCCTCATTTTATCCTCGCCAATATTTTCTTGTAGATTACCAATAAATTCTAGTGATCAAGGTTAGCTTATGGTCTATTACCTAAAGGTAATTAATCAATCTTACGTATCAAACCTTGTGTTATGCCGGGCAGAAACTCGAGAGCTCCGAGTGGAAGCCTCGAATTTGCAGGATCTTCAACCATTCGTCTGAACATTTGGTCGATTTCTCTAAAGTCAATATCTTTCGAAACGAGATGGCTTATAAACTCATTACGAAGCTGAGTAACCCGAGCATCTTCCTCGATAGATGGATCTCGTACCGATTTCTAGAGGTAATGTTAGGCTATGAAGAAGTCATACAGGGGTCAGTACACAGCTAACCTGTGCAATACCGACTACATCATCTTGCTGTAATGTCTCCTCATTATTCTGTATACTGTAGTCCAATCTAATCAATATTGCCTCTTTTAGGAAATGAAATTCTTTTTCAAACAACTTACCCTTCTCTTTCCTCCTCTATTACTGATGCAATTTCTTCAGTACTAGAAAGCTCTTCTTCATAGCGATTCTGTCTGATTAGCATATGTAATTCTACCTGGATTACCTTCAGCTTACGTAGAAAGATTTGCCATTTTGAATAGGTTCTGTCTCAGCGAGAGGTGGTGCGCTCATCTTGATTCATTTGACAAAGAGTCGATGATAAATGAGATAAGTATAGTAATGATAAAGTCTATAATAATTGAACTGGGTTAAGTCCTCCTTTTATTTATCAAGTAATTGCCTCGCCGTTCATACTAATACTCCGAAATCCGATGCTTCCGTCCGTCCTGCATCCGTCCATCCAGCAAGAAACATTCACAACCAGAAAAGAACGTTTCTCCAGCTATACCTTCAGTTGCACCACCAAATGTAAATAAATTGTCAGCCATACCTTCTCATCAACTTCCATGTCATCATTTTCTCGAATCAAGTTAGAGTAACTTTAGCTGTATATGATGAAAAGACCTCTCTTTTACAACCTTAGCTTTCCTCGTATCCTACAAAGGGAATGAGAATTGTCAATCGAACATGATGCATAATTTGCTTTTGAGCGGGGTAACGCAACTGTTGATTTATTATGTATCAAGGATATTTAAGCGGGTACTTACCGAAATCCTAAACGATTATTATTTCTTTGCTAATGGCCATGGTTAGGTGCATAGCTGAAATGAAAATAAAGCAAGGGGACTTTTGTGATAGTGTTTGTATTCAAAAGAAAAGGCTCTCTATATATTTTCATTGCTTGTAAGCAAATGAATAAATCCTAA